ACTGTCTAGATCTTTATTTTCCTCTGCATAATTCTGTCTTCTCAGGCCATCGTGTTAAACAGTGTAAGTAGGGTAGTGATAGAATACTAGCTGTCAACGCTTCAGCGTCAGCATCCTCAACGCAGATGAGGTTAACGTTTAACGACTGAAAAGTAACTTCAAAAATATATGGAAATGTCGCGTAGTGTATAACTGGAATCGAGGACACCTTATGGTTGGTATATTCGTGAATATATCTTATGGTCATTATTAGATTGGACGCTAACCTGTCCAAGGCGATGTGCTCTTTGATTTTGTCTACGCGAATGGTGAAAAACTGGAAGAAGTCATAATGTGCATCCCTCGGTCATCAGGTGGAAAGCGTGAATTCGTTAGACGGAGAATTCAGCAGAATAACGAAAGAAAGAAAGCATGACCTCGATGCATCGTTGGCATATAGCATCGTTGCTCAGCGATGGGCTGCTCTTTCGTTGAAAGTACTGGTTGATTCAACCGTCAAACCTATCAGAATATGCAAGGCAGAATTTTGGTTTACTAATGAAACCAAAACTGATGTTCACGCAAAGAATGCGTAGTGTACTTTTCAGTGATCGTGTGATAGCGCAAATTCTACAACGATCTTGATTAACAGACGCTCACTTCTCGCATTAATTAGTGTGGACAGCAATGATGATAACCGCAATTATTTTTGTGATCCAGTTTGCCTAGTCTGCTGGCCATCTGACGCGTCCCCCGGGTTGCGGATATGGCAGCGACCTCCAAGTACAAAGATTAGCTTCGACAAATACGCAGTCGAATTCATGTAGATTCCTTTCAACATCCGCATCAGATGAGGCACCACTAATCGCCTGAAGGTCTATGCCCTGGGGTAAGTGCGATTTTGAGTTTAGCGACAAGCCTTCGTTCTTGACTGGCAGCTGGTTAAGGAATCGTGCTGATGGTGTGAAGGGTCGTTCAAGAATTTCTAGCAAACTGTTTTGTGGCGACAGACTACAGAAATCCAAAGTCCAGCCATGCGCTCATAAGAAAATCCAGCAGTCCTAACGGATGATTGAAGGTGTCGTGTCGCCTCAAAGTAGCAAAGTCGTGGGCAGTAAGCACTTCGAAGAACGCTGGGTCGAGTAAGTCACCGTGAGTGCAACACAGAAGTGCTAGAAACATCATCGAGGTCGATTTGGAGCATCCATCACTCCTAGCCTTCTGCCGCAAAAAAATATCGCCCTTACGTTTGATGTGATTCGCTGAACATAGTCACACCAAGTTAATCGGTCGTTAAGATGTATTCTGAGGTAGACAAATGAGTTCTTGTGTACCAATGCAGACATGAACTCAGCAATGGTTGAAGAGAATTTAAAAACAATGGGAGAGCGCAAATTTTGAGGAACAAAAGCGCCCTCGAAGCATTTTCTAGCGTTTATCTTCGGACCATTAGTAATGGTCCAACCTTTCAAATTGTTGACGTCGGTGAAGCAATTTGTTATCTGTTAATTACTTGCTTCATGGACTATGGCTACGGTGTCATCCGCGCATTTGAAACAAGCGAGGTCGACTGACTTGACAATCACTGGTATGAAATGAGCGCAGCAGGGGCTAGAGTACCGAACCTTGAGGAACGCCAAGGTTATCTGACAGTCTGTCTGAACAACTCTGTGACAAACGAACAAACTGTTAGCGACCAGACAGATAGGGAGATAGACTAATCACGACACGTGTATCATACTCAGACTGATTCAGAGAGAAAAGTAGCCCATTTCGTGGTACTCTGTTGCAAGCCAAAGAGAAGTCCAAAAAGGCATCCCATGATCGAGTTGCTGAGCCACACTGTTAACCAGTACCCCGTCTGTCTAAAGCCAAGCTGCAGGGGATTTAGGAGGAACTACCATACTTTTGCGACTCAAAACCTTCAACGAAGCACAAGGTGACTGCAGCTTAGTGAATAGTTTTGAAGTCTGTTACTCCAATCTTCTTTTGAATCAGCATTAGGCACTACACCATCCATGCGACTGGAAACTCTGCTAAATGTAGAACAAGCCTTGGATATGTCTATAAGCACTTGTTTAACTTCCACTGCACAGAGTCGCAGCCTCTGGAGAGATACTGTCAGGACCTAACACCTTGGAGGCTGTCAATTTCGG